CTTGCAAAAAGAAATCATGTTCAGGTGTTGTTTCAGTAGTCTTTGTTCTGGGAGATTTTTCTCTTTTTTTGTTAGCAGAGTGGGGAGGATGTTGATTCAATCTTTGGCTAGTAAAGTGAGACTAAAACTGCTCAGACATTTTAATGCAGGTAACTTGTTGCCCTCATGCCTAGTTCTTTGGCTGAGCCAACCAGCATTGATGTGACTTGTTTATCAAGTAAGTTTCAAAACAAAGCAAACCCCACAACACAAACCTCTACATAAATCCAGTCTACTTCTTGAATCCCAAGGGTAGGGAAAAGCAGTTTTTCCACTGATGAATGTTACTATTTCCTGACAGCAGTGTTAATTTTGAGAGCACCTTTAAGGAGAAAAATACACTGTCAAGGACATGTGCTTATTAGCCCTTCCCATGTTAAATTTCCTTACTTTTTCAGTGAGCCTGAGTGCTGGGGAGTTTTATTTTGACCTGAATGTGTGATGAGCCATGTTCTAGATGTGTGAAGTTCTAGACAGGAATGCTTGTATGCTTTTCCCATTCTCTCCTCTGGTGTGCTTGTCCCAGGCAGACACCTAGGACCCTTCCTCATGCACTGACAGATCGGTGCAGGTTAGAAGGTCACCTCAATTCAGGTACAGGCTAGTGCACACTGAGCAGAGCTTACTGACCCCAGGCATGCATGGATAGCTCTGGAAGTTGTTTACTGTCTGCCGCTCCCGCTCCTTTCCCAACCAGTAGGAAAATGAAACCATTAAATATGATTATTCATCCTAGATAACTTCAAGATGCTTATCTTTGTTGTAAGTAAGGGCTAAGGTAAGATAATTAACATGAAGACAGGAATAGAAACTATATGTTGATAACAGAAGATAAGCAAGTATATGTAGGGGGAGCATGGGGATTATGTAAAGAGCACCCTCCAAGGGCAATTGTAAAAGTCTGGCAGGGGTGAGAGAGAAGAATGAACAATATTGTTCTGATTTATAGCTTGTAGGTGATAATTTTATTAGCTGACGTAATTAACGCCACATTTTCATGTTAATTTTCTTCTTCAGACTGCTAGCTTTGCTAATGTAGTTATCAGCAATGAACAGTCATTTTTGTGACTTGCCTTTTTTTTTTTCCTACTTCTATGATCTCGTTTCCTCCTCTTCTACTATTTTACTGCATGTGGAGATTAAATTATAGAACTATTTATGGCATCCAATCATTTTGTGTTCCCACTAGTCCATATGCTCATTTGACTCTTTGTTTTTTTCACCCCCAAAAAAGTAATCAAAATATTGTCTGTGTTACATTTCTCTATCTAGAAGTGTTACTAGTGGTGTATCTGTCAGGTGCTACTGATATTAGGGAGTACTTGAGGTCTTGACTGAGCATTTCGTCCATGATTAGTAGATCTTAACTTCAAAAACTTGAGCTCCAGAATCTCTACCTTTCAAGGGAAAAGTGAAACCTGAGAAAGCAGGGCTGACTATGTTGTCATATCATACTTTTCCTACCTGTTTGGTTTCCCTGATTCTTGTTGCCCAAGTACAGGAGCATCCCATTGCACTGATGAAGTTTGTGTTCTTTAGTATCAGACATTATTTGGTGTCTGGATGACAACACCATATGTTTAAGCAGGTGATCTCCTTGCCCTTTTCCTGTAGGTCACTAGGGAGCCTCAAAGAGAAGACAGAAAGTAGCAAACTCTCTGAAGACAAAGGAGAAGAAAAACTCTACACTCTGATAGTATCAGAACATCAAATCCAGAAGTTATGATAGTTTTGTTGTGTTCTTGTTCCAGACAGCTCGTTAACATGTGGTTAACAAATGTTACAGGACCTGAACACCACAGAACAAACACTGCAGTACTGTCAGGATTTTGTAATGGTGCTTTTGTAACTTTGACTCTTGGTTTCCACAGTAGATCTCGGGGCTCTAGGCATAATGCTGCTGCCTTAAATAATACTTCATTAAATGAAGTCGGGGTAGTGAGAATTTTTTTTTTCTTTTGAGAGAGTAAGTCCTTCTGGGTTTTTTTTACTAATTCAAGGTAGTTTATTTAATCTACTAATTGAGGCATTGTAGGCTGCATTTCTGTTCTAGAGCAAGTATAATAGTATTAGACTGCTTCAAAGTGATTTTATCATTTTTCCCCCAGAATGCTAGTTTTGATTTTGTTCTGTGTTGTCAATGTAGTGTTAGTATACAACTATCTTTTCTTTGGCCTGAATTGTTTTTTTAAGAGTGACTGGTGACACCATGTTACAGAAAAATAATTATGATAATGATAAAATGGAACAGACTAGGACGAGTTTATTTTCTTTGTCTTTTTAAATGGGCAAAATAAAACCCTAGTGTATTTCAGAAGACTCAATGTTTGTTTTAAATCTGGAGAACACAGTGTAAAAAAAATTGTGTTGTGAGGTGTTAAACGTTCTCAAAAATACTTGGTTTGTTTACAGCTGGCACATTAGTACAGGCTATAGTCTTGTTTTAGATAACAGTTATATTTGAAAGATTGCTCTGATAAGACTTGATAAGTCATTTTCCTTGGGTCTCAGGTTTGCAAGTACCTAGGATCTACCTGCCCTACTTTAGCTGTGAAGTGTTAAATAGGGCTTTTGAAGACTTTTTACAATCACTGGACTGCTAGGGAGTTTTGACATGCTTAGCTGTGTCTGCAGCTAGGCTGCCAAAGGCTTCCTTCAGCTGAGCAACTCAGTGCCTCCTGCGTAGGCCCTATAAGGCTGTGCAGAAGAAATATTCTTCCCACCTGTCACCCACAGAGATGCTGCAGCCACCTCCATAGCCTCAGACTATGACAAATTATTCTAATTTAGCAGGTTAAAGGGAGGACCTTCTTTTTTATCAACAACTATAGCATTCACCTAGGATGTGGAAAGCCTGTTCTCTTTTCATGCTCAGGTGATTCATGACCATATTTTCCAGATGAGCATTCTGACTGCTGGTCTATGGAGTCATGCTTGGTGCTTCCACTTCCGAAGTCTTTAAGACACTTGAACACCTAATTCCAGGGCAAGGGCAGGATTCAAGACATATTCAACGTGACTTTCTGTGTGAGCTCAGGTGGTTCACTGCTGGCATGATAGCTGTTTATGAATCCTCCTCTTAAGTATCTGTGTTCCTCGGTACAGGTCGTCAGCTTGGGAACTCAGACCCGTTCTCAGTGTGTGTGTTCGTGCCCAGGCCAGATCTCAGCAGTGTTGTGCAGTTGGGTGGCCACTGCACACCATTGTCCTGGGAGCCCAGGCAGAAGAAAGGAGCTGCTGTTTCTTCCTATCTTTCTGTCCTTTGGGCACCCCATATGTCAGGTGCTCCTGGAGCTCTGGAGACTTGTCACCCATTACTTTCTTTTGGAATTCAGTTTAGCTTCATTAACAGCATCTCCACTAGTTGTTCGTTGAGTTGTCCTTCAAGGCACCTTGTCTTTTCCTGAGCCGAGCTTATTTTTCAGTGATCTCTTCTAAGGAACAGTGCTAGGAATTTAGTCTGAGTAATATTTCGTGCTAAGATAACTTTTACACGAAGGTAACTTTACAGTAGCAGAGAGTTTGACTACTAAATGGGGATTGTAGGCTTTGGAACAATAAGCATCCTTAACTTTAAGCAAGTAGGTAGAACCAATGGAAATAGAGAGGGCTATTCATGTGAAGAGTTATGTATGATTAAATATTTATGAAGTAAAATTTTAAACTTGTGACTGTCTACTGTTTGCAATTAATTCATAAAAATTGATGCTTCTGTCAAAGCCCCATGTTATAGTAAAATGAGCTAAATGCACTTACAATTTTGACCTCATTATAAATTTTGATCCGAAGCTGTGTAGGAGAGTTCCTAGCTGGTAAAAGCTTCAGGTTAAACTTCATGAATTATTTTACATGTTAATGTTTTTTTTTTAAAATGGTTCTTGATTTTAAAAAAAACAAAACACAAGCAAAAAAACTCACCTCCAAAAACCAGCAATAAATGGAAAATAAAAAAAAAACAAGGCAAAGAAACCCTCTAATACCAAAAAACACCAAAAAACCCAAACCCTCTCAGAACCCTGTGTTCTGTGCTACTTTAGGGAAATGTTAAGAAACTGGGATGTAAATAGACCAGAAAATGTCAAAAATGTAGGTTTCATACCTCATCACTGTTGTTGGTAGTTCAGGTTGTCTCTTAAAACCCTGCCAGCAGATTTCTGTTAAAGCTCCTGTTAAAAAAACCCACACAAACAAACCCAAAACCACAAGAAAACACCCAAACACCCCTCTTCCAAAACCCTGAAACAACCAACCCCCGACTATCCCAAAGGAAAAAACCTCAACCGTTTGAGGCTCGGAATGAGTTTTTAATAAAGTGAGAATGGTAATTAGTCCATATAGTTGCTTTGAAGAAAGCTTCAAACTGAATTCTCCCTGTAATGGGCGGGAAAAGTATTTTCCCAAATCAGTTCCTTCTAATCTCTAAATTTTAGTCCCTGTATTTTTTTTCCACGAAATTACCAAAAGCTCTTGACCTGAGGGATTTGTTTTCCGTTCCACAGTCTTGCAATTTTCCTCCCAGCTAATTACAGCCTATTACTCTAGACTTTGGTCCTTTAGCAGTAACATTTTCCATCTTAAGATGGGCTGTCCCATTCCAGTGAAGAGCATGTTGTCTGAGCGCTGAATGGAATTACTACCAGTGGAAACTATGCTGCAAGAGGGCTTGATAAAGCAGCTGCTGTGCAAACCTCAGCTGTTTTTTCCATCCTCCGGAGTGCTGGTAATTAGCATAGGGAAGCTGACTAATGTGCTGACGTCACCTCTTTCCAGTCCCAGCTTACATTTTGTTCCTGACTGCCTCCAAGCATGCAGGACTTCGGTCAGGAATTCGCCGTCACATACAGGATGCTCTGAAACCTGTTTTTTTTTTTTTTTTTTTTTTTTGGAGGGGCTGGGCTTGTTTCCCTTATAAACGCTGCCTGCAGGACCAACAGCTTCCTTAAAAGTCATTGGTTTCTGCGGAACAGCAAGTATCGCTTGGACGCAGAGCAAAATGCATTTTAGAAATTTTAACTACAGTTTTAGTTCTCTTATTGCCTGTGTGGCAGATAGCGATGTCTTCAATCAAGCAGAAACAAGGGTATGCTTTATCTCTTGTTTTATTTCTGTGAACTACTGGAATACTAAAGAATGTAGGTGCTGTTTCAAATTGTTTAAAATACAGATGCCTCGATAGATTTTTCTGACTTGTAAGAAAATCTTGGTTTACTGTAACGGTCTTGGGTTTTCCAAGTTTGCAACAATATGCTCTGATAAGAGGACTAAACCTGGAAATTGAGATCTTAAGCTCAGTGGTTTTGAAAATTATCAGAAGTTTATCTCCAGACTTCCTTGGCTGTCTGTGTAGTGTATTCTTCGCTTGCATATGCATTTTCAGCAAATGTTTAGATTATAATTTTGGTAGTAAGATTCACATAATTTATAGTGCACTTGATACTTTTCATGGGATTTTTTGACTGACACTGTAGTTAAGAGCATAATGTTAAACCTATAAGTCATCCTCTCGGATTTTTATTTAACTCATTAGAATTAATATAAAGTAAGCAATCTAGTCCTGGTACAGTGAATTATTGACCGCTAAGATGCTTTTAAGGGCAAAAAGAACATTTCATTTTGTGTCATATTGCTAGTGTGACGTTTATGACCTCTACAACATTACACATTTTAAAAACTATATATATTGCATAAATCTTGCAGGTACTCTGAGTTTGAATGTTGAATGTAAACTGAAATGCAATTTTTGGGATGGGTTTGGCTTACTTTTCACAGTTGCATCCAGCTCTCTCTGGAGTACAGAAGACTTAACAAGCACAGGCTTTGTGTACAGAGGGGTTCTGCTCTTGTTTCAGAGCTCATTTTGACGAAGCTTAAGTGTATGGCTCAGCAAGAAGCAGGACAGCTCTGATATTTTAAAATCTCTTTGAAATACAGTGGCTCTGTCCGCAGCTGGTGAGTTTGTGAAGGAGAGCTTTTCAGGAAGCAAAATTACGTTTTGAAGTAATCGCTGACTTCTTATGTAATCTTTGCGCTTTTTTTTATACTCGGAATGTAACAATAAAAAAGGCAATGAGGGTTTACATGTGTGTTTATTTTGGCTTTGTGTTCAACTTCTAATAAGATTTTGTGAAAATAAGTGAAGTCTGAATGCTTGATATATTGCCATCACTGAAATAAGGCTTGTCCCAGATTACTGTATTCTCTGTGTGAGCTTGAAACACTTTTTAAGAGCCTGGCTGCTTCAGAACTTCCTGCTGCTTTGTCCTTTGGTCTGGCATCCTGAACTAAGAGTGAGAGCGCTCTTCATATAAGTGATACAAAAAACAGCCAAATGAGGTTTGCACAGATGCCCTACGAGTGCAAACCCGAAGTGCAAAATGGAGATAGCTAGCTGTTGGTAAAGGTGCTTATATAGGACAGCGAAGTAACTCAGCTGCAGGCCTAGGAAGGTTTGAGGTTTTGGCCCAGTTTCTACTCTTAGCAGACAGTCAAAACGGAGTCTGTCAAAAGCCTTCAGGAGCTGTTTGGTTAGTACTTAAGATTTCTTTAGAAAAGATAGTGGGAGCCTTTTTAGAATTCAGTTCCAGAAATAGAAGAGACTATTAAACTAGAGGTCAGTAATAGTATGTTCATTTTCCTAAATGAAAGTAGTAGCTATTAAAACAGGAGATGTTCATGAACCATATTATGCATGTTGAATCACTGAAGAAAATTACATTTAGCTTGCAAATATGTTGTTTTTTTCTTTTTTCTCTATTAAAACTGTTGTGTTGGTTTCCTTCAAAGTTACTCACTTAAACAAAGACATGGTTGGCAGACTTTTTCTCAAGGCCTTCGGATATTGATTTTAGAAGACAAGGATTTCTTTTCAATATCTTACAATATACTGCTTCTATTATGTCACTAAATCAGTATTGTGTCCAACACTTATTAATGATAATTGCCTATTTTTTTAATAAGAAAAAAGCTGCTCTAGAGAAAACAAGTGATATGTTAGTAAAACCCTTTATAAAAAGAGAGAAGAAAACTAAATCTAAGCTGTTATAAATACATTAATATTTGAGAGTGGTGGTATGGCTTTACTAGTAACTGCTGTTTATTTCTGCATTTCTTTAGAGAAAATGTAGTGTTGCATATTCACTTTCTTCTCTGATTCTTTCTTTTCAGGCCAAATTTGAATCACTGTTTAGAACATACGACAGAGATATCACCTTTCAGTATTTTAAGAGCTTCAAAAGAGTACGAATAAATTTCAGTAACCCTTTATCTGCAGCAGATGCGAGAATCCAGTTGCACAAGACAGAGTTCCTTGGAAAGGAAATAAAGCTGTATTTTGCTCAGGTATGTCTTTTAGCGATTGTCCTTACAAGTCTAACTTACTTGTCATAAGCTTCTGCAGGTCTTCAGTCATGCTAATGAATGCCGTTAATTTTTTTCAGTTTGATCAGAGAATCAGATGTTCTTCCAGAGCTATAAGTATTTGGAGGGTGTTGCGTATTTTGCATTTATGTCTCCCTCTCTATTGTTTTGATAACCTTGGGGGAAAGCGAGTAGGTGATAGTGATCAGCACAGAGTTTTAACAGGGTGGGGGAAGCCAAATGTGCTCTGCCAACAGCACACACATGCGTGCTCAAGTAGTGTCTGAGGGAATCCAAAGCGTAAAGCTGCATGTTCAGGATTCTGCCTGTTGATCCTGCTCCTGCAAATCATTTGTCTACCACATGTTTTTACCTGGAGGTGGCCATCCCTGCAGCTATATAGCTGGCTAGCATCTGCTGCTGAAGATGTGAAACTCTCAGGTTCTGGTAATCTGGGTGCTTTTTTTTGGTAGCTGCTCTGTATATTCCTCTGTAAATTTAATGGGAAAATTAATGTATGTGTATCTGTTTCAGATGTCCCTAGGGACAGTCCTGAAGGAGCCAGTTTATTTATATACCTTCTAGAATTCTCACCACTCTCACTTGTGGTAATGAGTTTCAACACCATTTTGTCATTAGGCCTTAAAGCCCATACCCAGCTTCCTCCTTAAGGACAGATACTTTCTGGTGAAGTTTTTTTTTTAAAAACCCATAATGAGAAGATGCAGATGTGCATAATTCATTGCATGTTTCATCAGAGTTAGTGAATGTGATGGCTTGTCTGTATTTTGTATTCTGGGTCTTTCATATAGCTCTCTTCAATAATATAGTTACATGCTGCCACCTTGAGTGCCTGTTACAGCATAACATCTATCCAAGCCTTAAAATTCCTGGTGGACAAAGGATTCATTGACAATAGTGAAATGGCTTTGGCTTTTATGCTTTTTTCAGACTTTGCACATTGGCAGCTCACATTTGGCACCACCGAATCCAGACAAACAGTTTCTGATTTCACCTCCTGCCTCTCCACCTGTTGATTGGAAGCAAGTAGAAGATGCTACTCCAGTCATTAACTATGACCTTCTGTATGCTATCTCCAAGTTAGGACCAGGTAAGAAAGAGTAGAAACACTAGCTTTTTTTAAAATGTTTTTTTTAGTAAAACACCTTTTGAACTTTCCCAATTTCTAGAACTCAAGTGAGTTGGTATCTACCAGTTGCATTTGTAATATCAGAAGTATTAGTAAAGAGTAGTTTATTACACACTCAGTAATTCCACAGGATCACTTGGAGAGCCCAGACCTACACGATGGGATCTCTTTGTGATTTGTAGAGAGCATGAATGTCACTTCAATAATATGCCAGCTTGTTCATCAGAATTTTCAAGAAGCAGCTCCCTAAAAATGAAGAGACAGTTGTGTAGTTATGTACCTTCTGAAGGGATGGGAAAGTCCTGTTTCAGACAAAGTTAACAGCTGTATAGCCCTGTGCTAGAATGACCTCTGCGTCTGAGGCAGTGGTATGTGTAGGTGGCAAACTGTCACAGAATCGCAGAATTGTTGAGGCTGGAAGAGACCTCTGAGTTCATCAAGTCCAGCCTATGTCCCAACACCATCACATTGGCCAGACCAGGGCACTAAGTGCCACATCCAGCCTCTCCTTAAACACCTCCAGGGACGGTGACTCCACCACTTCCCTGGGCAGGACATCCCAATGTTCGATCACCCTCTCTGTGAGGAAGTGTTTCCTGATATCCAGCCCAAACCTTCCCTGACACAGTTCCAGGCCATAAACCTAGTTTTTCTTTCAGTATGAACCTAGTTTTCTTTTGGAGTTATGAAAAGAGAAGTTTCTTCCACTCCTTGCTCCTTATGATTTTCGTCTGCTGCAATTTACTCATTTATTGGAAACTTTGAGGTAGCTTAACCCTGGAAGGGAAAAAAAGTTTATATTGGGTTCCTTTTCCCCACTGTCCAAACTAAAGGAGATGCTAAGAATGTACACGTACCCTTTCTTTCTAGTGCTGTCCCAATAAGCTGCTTGTCATTACAGCTAACCATACTGTGTAGACTCTCTGTAGGTTTATTTATTAAAAATAGATAGCACCCTAGGTAGGAGAAACAGTTACACCTGCTGTTTGTGTTTTAAACCAAATACTGCTTTCAGAAGTAGATGTAAAGTTCCACTAAACTGAACTCTTATTTTAAACATGACTCTGCTTTTCAATGATTCATGTTCACATCCCTTGAGATAATTTTATACCTCGGTTAAGACAACCTACCTAATAAGAATCGGTGCAAAATGTATTTCCCAAAATCTACAACTCTTAATTTCACTTGTTTGCAACTGTGCTACTAAGTTTAGGGGACAGAAGAAATGGCCACATTTAGTAGCAGTATCAAAGACAGTAAAACCTGTAGTCTGAATCATTTAACTGTAGTATTTTTATGTACCCTTTTACCTGCCACCTTAGGGAACACATCTTATTATGTTCTTAGTATGGAGTGGAGAGGAGCGTAGGGCAGAACTTTTGGTCCAGTGTGTCGACTTTCTCTGTAGTAGTTTATGTTTGACTGTATGCTGGTGATACCCAAAGATTATAGTGAAATTCTTCTTACCTGCAAAAATTCAGCCCTTTGTAGTTTGTGGAGGGACAAAGATCTGCTTATGTTGGCATAAAAAATAGGGTAGATTATTGCCAATTTTTAGTAGATACCATCTTGTAAATGATGCGTGAATTATAATGGCAAGAGCATTTTATAGGACAGATTACAGTTAGAAGTGGAGATATAAAATACTGCCACAAATTATTTGTTTAATCAGAAATATGTAAACTAAGCACCGAGTCTTGCACTTAGGTCTTTAAAACCATCTATTAAGGATACTGCTGACGTAGTAGATGTTTTTATCAAAGATTTTATTTTCCTGAAATCAGTTTTCGAAACAGAAATCCCATGAGACTGTGCTTGTTGGAATAAAAGTTGTTCTGATTGAAATATATGAAGAATGAATAAACAAATAATGTTACAACTTATTGATTTTATGAAAGCTCAGAGTTCGCTCCACGGGTGCTGCTTTCTTTACCGGAAGCTTTCCTTTTAATTTTTAGCAATACCAAAAAGAAAACTATAGGTCTTAAAATAACTCCTTAGGCGCTTACTTAATAGTAAAGGTTGCTGTTATTGAGGTGCCCTGCAGTAAGCTCATTGGCTCATCTGTGATGTCTTTTCCTATGAGATTTTTTCCTATGCATTATGAATGCTGAGCTCCATAAAGCTCTCTTGACCAATGTTCATTGGAACATGGAGTTAATGACTTGGTACCAAGGAGCAGGCAGGGGTTACTCTTACACAATGGCTTGTGTGTCTCTGATGAACTGGAGCCTCTGTGGAACTGCTCTTTGTGCCAGTCCCCCTTCTGAAATTTCTCAGGGAACCAGAGCAGAGAGCTCCTCAGAGCCTTGGCACACTGGAGTGTTGCCACAGGTGTTAACTCTTTTGAATAGCTGATCTACAGGTCACTGTTGTGGTCTTAATGGAGACTGATCTCTCCACTGAGACATAATGAGTGTAAAGTAACAAGAAAAATAAAATTAAGGGGAGCCGAGCAGGGAAGTGGTGAAGAGAAATTGTTTGCTCTTTCCTTGATCTAACATCAGGTTAAAATTATTTAACACCTAGTTAGATTTAAAATTGATTCTTTCTGGAAAAAAACCACCAAGTTTCAGATCAGTGGTCAATAAAATTTGTATCGCACTGGCTGTATTGTATCCAAGTGTTTCACATTAGACAGCAGGCTTCATGCGTATATAGCTCTGCTACTCCCTGGAATGCCAGAACAGTGTCACAGCACCTCTGCATGAGATGGGAAGAACTGCATCCAGCTTCCTTAACACTGAAAGCTTTGGAGGGAAGGAAAATCCTGTGGTTTTGCTGTCATTCAGAAGCACAGTCTTTCTGAATGTAATATGTTAGAGAGATAATCTTGTACACTTTAAAATGACAAAAAGAACCCCAAGCAGACTTCCGATCGCTCATGCAGAATGCTTTCTTGAATGTGTAGGGTTGGAATGTGTATGTGGACTTGTTTTTGAGAGAGCAGCTGAGCTATGTTGCTTTGAAAACAGAACCTGAATGGTAAACGTGGCTGTTGGCACTGCACGTGCCTGCACCATCTAATGCATTGTGGCATCAAGTTTTTGTCATCAGTGTGTTATTTACATTTTTATGTAGCTCTGTCTTTTTAGTAATTTCTTTCAGGCTTTTCTACAGAATGGATTCTTTTTAACCATTTTGCTAATATTTTAACTTTCAGGAGAAAAGTATGAGCTACATGCTGCAACTGACACTACTCCTAGTGTTGTCGTCCACGTATGTGAGAGTGACCAGGAAAACGATGTGGAAGAAGAAACGAAGAAACCCAAACCAAAAATTATTCAGACAAGAAGGCCAGATTATACTCCTACCCATTTAAGTTGAACTGCTGTTGGTTTTCCAAGGGCTATAGGTAGACATATCCAAAGGAAACATTTACCGTGCAAACAGCAGGTCACATGTTTGGTGGCAACAGCAGCAGCTACGGGAGGAGAAATTCCAATATAAGCTTGCTCAGAAAAAATAAAGGAGGTTTCGTCCTTATTTTTGGTGCTGTAGGTTGATGGATGTCATCCGAAATCACTGGGAACGAGAAATAGGTAGAAGACATTTTGAGACATAATGGGACAAACTAGGTTTATTTTTGGGGGGGTACTGCAGGCTGTTCTGTTTTAACTCGGGGAAGCTTTCTTTGTTCTGACTCACATAAATCCTCAAACTACTAGGCTAGTCATTGTGTGGAGTACATAGCGATAAAGGAGGTGGTTTTAAAGGTTAAAGTATGGGAATTGTAAACCTTTTTCTTATAATAGATTTTGTGCATGTGTATTTTCAGTCTTCTAAAGTAACTTTGCATTATTTTCTATAGTTTCTCACATGTTTCTGGAAATCTGGGAAATTGTTTAAAGTATTTATTATCTCAGCATCCCAGACTTACTACTAGACATGTATATACATATATATTTATATTTGTTTTTATTGGCACTCATTTTCCAGCAGGCATACAATTTCTTCAGCACCTTATCTTGGTGCTATGTAACTTGTGCTTTTAAGATTTTAACCTTTTAAATGCCTATGTAGGGTTTTATCTGGCAAAGTGATGGAAAAACGTGCAATAGGTAAGTTGTTTAAACAACAAGTTGATTTAAAATTATTTAAGTTTAGATAATTTATATCTTCAATAACATATGTTTGGTAGCTTTGACTTACTCATTTGGAAAAAAAGTACTCTTAAATGTATAACTAAATCTAATGTTGCATATTCACAGCAATGTAATGTTTCAGTAAAAAAATGTGGTAATGGAGAGACGTGAACTCTAATCAGTATGTGAATCTGCATTACTGTGAGCAAAGGTTTAATACTGATTGAAAAACTGCACATAGTGTGTAGAACAGCAAAGAGAGATGGAGTGCCTTTTCCTCGTTCATTCCTGATGTGAACTGTTCTACAGGCTGCACAGTTGTATCTTTTTCTACTGGCTTTGTATGTCCATGAATATAAATTTTCTTTGCTTCCAAAATAAGCTGGTATTTAGAAATGCTTAATGTCAAGTAATGATGCATACTGAAGTAATGGGCATATGTGGGAGAAGCTTTAGGGGTTTTTTTAATATGTTAGCGTTTAAAGACAGTGGCTCATGACATACAAGTTTAGAGAAAGAAAGATGACAGAAGTGTATTTTATTACTTGGTTTTTTTAAAATGGAGACCCTCATTTTGAAGTAGGTTTCAGTATTTTTTTTAAGAAATAGTAACCAATATCTGTGGGAAAATATCACTTACAGTTTTAGAAAGGACATGTTTGAAGCTTCTCAGTGTGTTTGTAGAAATCAAAGCATGATTCTCTGTTAGTTTGGTTTTGCCACTGTTGTTCTGAGAATGCATTTTGTAGCTGGAATTTGTTTAAAGAAATCCATTCTGTGCCATTTGAAGCAAACATTGACAGGTTCACACCTTGTTATTTAAATAAATCATATATATTTTAAAAAGTAAGATGTATAACGAAGCCATTCCAGGCTGTGGTGCAGCATAACACGGTGTTATTGAAGGCCTGTCATTATACTAAGCAAAATAGAAATTGATATCCTGTGACTGCAGAGAGCAGAAATATATTGAAATTTAGTAATACTTGCATTTACGATCTTGTTTTGATTGGTATGCCCTGTAAACTGAAGCAAATGCTAGCACTTGGTGTCTGTTTTGGACCTAACTCCAGTGACGCTCTCTCCATGTCCACAGTGTTAAGAAGAGCTAATGCCATGTATTGCCGGAGCCCTGTTTTATGATTGTTTGATGTTACTAAGGTAATCAATCAGCTGGATCAGCTGGATCAGCTTTTTAACACACAAATTAAATAGATTAAATGGAGAGAAACTTTGAAGGCTTGCTACAGCTACCTTTAAACCTTTCTGATACTTTTTTCTCCATGTCTCTCAAATTACTACTGGACTTAGTATTTCACTTCATTTAATTTAAAATTGTTGGAATAATTCCTATTCTGTCCTTTCCCCATCTTTCCATGATTACCAATCAAAACATTAGTTTTGCATTATAAAAACCCAGATAGTTGCTGCTTTGTTTCCAAGCAATTCTAAGAAAGCAGTACTAGTTTTCTGTTAAAAACCCAAGAGTGTTAAATACCAAGATGGTTTTCATCATTTTAGTACACCGATGTTTGCCTAATAAGGGGGCCACCAGAAACCATGCAAGTCTTGGGATGGTTGCGGTGTGTTTCCCCTTCTGAAGGTAATTGTAAACAGAAGTGGTGAGACAGTAACTTGCCTGTCTACTTCTGGTGGTACATCTGGCTTGTGCCACCTTGTGTTACCATTTCTACAGTGTGCTGCTTGCTTTCTCTGTTTGTTTTTGTTTGTTTGTTTGTTTTTAAATGTTCAAATGAATGCTTAGTTGGTATTTTATACAGTTGTATAGTATGGGGCATATTTAAATTAAAATATTTTGTTGTCTTCTTGTAAATGTTGTGGTATTTATGCATGAAACTACTTGAAAATTTCGTGTCAAAATATGAACTTTAAGTTTCCAAACGATTCTGTTTTGAAAAAGCTAAGAATATTGTCCCAGGCTGCATCCTTACTAGTCAAATTAATTTATTAAGAGAAAACTCTTCCAGCCTTCTGCCTAAGAGACTTGCATGATCTCAGTCAAGTGATGGGAATCTACTAAGTAAAACACAGTCCAGAATATTCCAGTTAAAAACTGATTCTTCTGTGCCTGAAGCTGATGTGCTTCCTAATAAAGTATCAACATCTTAGTACTCTTGTAACAATCCCTGTGCATTCATATCCTTACCAGTTTTCTCCTATGACACGAATAATTCTGTTGTTAAATCTCTTGGAATATGAAAATATATCAGCATTTAAATGGCTTTACCTAGTAACTGTAAGTCTTTGTGTTGTAAAACATGTTGGGCAAAAATGCATTTTACTCTCAGTATGGATAGAAATCCTTTCAGGGCAGAAAGGAGTTGTTGATATCAGTGCTTGTCATTCTTCTCTACTTACGACTGGGAAGTGTTGATGTTTTTGAGAAATTACTCTATACACAGGAGTGGTTTGAAATAGCAAAGTGCTGATGCTTGTTAAGAGCCAGATGATCCAGGGGAGTTGCTGTGTAGAGTTAGCAGAAATAACATGGTCCTTCAGTGATCTAACAAAATATATAAGATGAAATAGCAGTTCCAACTGAACCATCTTTCTTTACATAGAAGACCTAATTTATTTTCTCTTTTTGGAAGTACAGCTCATGTTTTATTTGCCCTCTGCATAAGGATAGTGTGCACAACCTCTGTAAATCTGTACGAGATCCCTAGCACTTGTCACTTTGCAAGAGTTATTACCAGCTTAGTGATACACATTCCTATTGCTATTCCTATTCCTGTTCCCCTCTACTCTGCCCTGCTGAGGCCAAATCTGGAATATTGTGTCCAGTTCTGGGCCACTCAGCTCAAGAGAGACAGGGAACTGCTTGAGAGAGTCCAGCGCAGAGCCACAAAGATGATGAAGGGAGTGGAACATCTCCCTTATGAGGAAAGGCTGAAGGAGCTGGGTCTCTCTAGCTTGGAGAAGAGGAGGCTGAGGGGTGACCTCATAATATTTATAAATATGTCAAGGGGGAGTGTAAGGAGGACGGAGCCAGGCTTTTCTCAGTGATGTCCAATGACAGGACAAGGGGCAATGGATACAAGCTGGAACATAGGAGGTTCCACAAAAATATTAGAAAAAGCTTTTTCACTGTGAGGGTGACAGAGCACTGGCACAGGCTGCCCAGGGAGGTTGTGGAGTCTCCTTCTTTGGAGACATTTAAAACCTGCCTGGACACGTTCCTGTGTGACCTACTGTAGGTGATCCTGCTCTGGTAGGGGGGTTGGACTAGATGTTCTTTTGAGGTCCCTTCCAACCCTTGACGTTCTGTGATTAAGCGCTTGTGCACACATTACTGCATTAAGGACTATATTTTTCTTACCAAGCTGAATTCAACAACATGCAAGTTTGTTTCTAATCAGGGTTTTGTTTTTCAGAGCAGCAACAAGTGTAGTGTACCTTTGATATTTGAAATACCAGACAAGTGTACAAGTAGTTGTTCATGTGTAGTCCAAACTTGTCAAGGGTGGGGAAGGAATGAACTCCAGCAACTCTCTCTTATACCATTTTAACAGTTACAGCACAGATTTGGCCCTAGGCATAATCACCTGCCTAGTCAAGTTTTGCTTTGTCACACTAGAAAGAATGTCTTGGGGAAGACAATTTCCTTAACTTGAAACTGTGATTTGTATCTGTAAAGCTTGCTTTCTTCTTCTTCTGGTATGTCCCAAGCCCCCTGTCCCAGTTCCAGACATACAAAATGAATAGCAAAGGGTAGGCCTTTACTCTAGGCATAGACTGAGTTATTAAATTTGCTTATTAGGTCTTGGTTTCAGTTGTTGCGTTGCTTCAATCATTTTTGCTTTTATCCTGGCTTGCCCAACACACTCTAGAAACATTTTGCAGAAAATTATACCTGCTTAATGCTTTTAATAATTTGAATAAGACAACAAAACAACCAGTAATAACAAAGACCAGACATCCCCAAAGATACTGTAAATTACAGTGAATAAAATGAACACAAAAGCAATTTGACTGAAGAGTAGCTGACAGGATGGATCTGTCAGAATTGGATTTGTTTTCTCTGACAAAATTTCCTTTGATAAAATACTATCACACTTTTTGTCATTTACCTGATGTGTATTAATGTGTCTAAAATTATAGTATCTCTGCTATCTTGCACTTTTTTTTTTTTAGTTACTTGCACTTGTTTTTTACTCTGGTACACACTATCTGAGATATGAAAAGATGAAATGGGAGTTTTAAGTATGAAAGGTTGAACAGGTAGAGGAAGGGACAAAGGCTCCAAGTGGCACTTTGTAATTTCTTGCAATCCTGTTGCCTGTTCTGTTTTGCATTTTCTGCCTCTCAAAAACCAGCTCCGAAAGCTCTAGTTCTTCCTAATGTTGCTTCCTGCTCCCACCTCTGCCGTTCTTCCACAAAATGTTATTCCATGTTTCTGAAAGACTGAGAGACCCTTGAGGTTTACAAGCATTTTCTAAGACTTCTTTCTGAAATGGCTTCTCTTTATCCAAGGGTCGGCACAGCTC